ATTATCAATCATAATTATCGGTGTAAACTCATCAATTAATGGCTCATGAATAACATCTTTAAGGTTGTTGGAAATAACAACAGAATTTAGAGTTTCAGAAATGCATGATTGTCTTATTACTAAATCCTGCAGAAAATACATGGTAAGTTAGTTTAAAGTGCTCACTAGAAACAAAGAAAAATATAGTTACAATTATTTGATGTATTGGAAAATATACACTTTGCAATATTGCTTCATCAATCCAAATTTTATTGAATAGTAAACAATAAGTGAAAAGCTTGTGTGAGAGCGACATTGTAAATGTTAAAAAGTGACTAACTCATGTCCTGAGCGACTTGACTTCATTCCCTGGTTAGCATGACGTCGATTAAATTTTACATTACCATAATCTCTCTAAACTTCACTTGATCGTGTTTTTTACAGCTTTTAACGGCCGAACGTGTAACACGCAAATAGTATTATATTATATCATACCTTTCATATAATATCTGTATCACTAATAAAATATAATTAGAGGGTGATAATAGGGTGAGAAAAATGAATTTTTTATAGAAAATCCACTTTAATTTATAATTCATAATACTTTATTTTGCTTTACCGATTTTTGATACACCATTATCTGATCCTGCCTCAATTTAAATAATTCATTGCTTGCGCTCATTTATGATTTAATGAAGTGAAAACATGAAAAATAGTTTATGATCTAATGATGTTTTATTCAGCCCAACATAAATTATGAGAATAAAATCTGTATTTTCTAAGTGTACAGTTTGTGTGTAAAAAAAAACTAACTAACACAATTATTCAGTTTATCTTATTTATAATGTTTTTTTTCTAAGATATTTTTGCTGTATCTCAAATTTTTCATTAGTTACTAACAAACGTACACTGTGCATCGGTGTTTTTTTTTATTTTTAATCGGGTATTTTTAATAACCCAAGTAGTATTAATTTCTATCGAGTTGAATTAAAAAAACTCTGCTACAACTAGATGATAATTTTTACTATTTAATTCTCTTTGTATGGAAAAAGTTTCTATGAATCGATCAAAATGTCTTGGTTCAAGAATTTTTCAGCTTGACAAGATCATTGAAATTTTCAAAATAATTTTCTTCGTTCAAAATTTTTTCTCGTGAGTAAAATTAACTATTTTATCCATGCATGAATACATTGATAAGTTCTTAATTTGATGTTCTTATTTAGTATTTGGTGGTTTACAAATTTCGAAAATGAAGACAACAAATGATATCGCTAATGAAACCGTTAAAAAAACGAAAATATTATACAAATCTTCCATAACAACTTTTCGATATCCACTAAATTTTATAGTTTCTTTGAGTTGTATTTTGTTTAACGGATCACTGATAACAGTACTATCCCACAAACTTAGAAAGCCAGCTTCGGATAAACGCGATGTTATAAGATCAAATTGTATTTTAAGAGGCCAATCATTACGAATCAATAGGGAATTAAAATGCAAGTCCTTTATTAAAGACACATGTAAGTCATACTTGATAGCAACGGATAAACCAACTCGAGCAACAAATATACATGCTGTGCGAAAGTCAGTGCTGTTAATAACGTATTTAAAACATTCATTATCTACAGTATGGACGTACTTTTTCTGTTCGTAGGACCAATTGTTGACTCCCAAAACTCTACTAGTGTAACTCAACATATAAATTTTGTATTTCAAATTTTGCAAGTCAGCGATACTATTAATTACTTCTCGGTTTGATTTTGTTGAGTATGCTGACATTTGACCTTGATAAATATTATTCATAAACATAACAAAAATAAGCACGGAAACAAGAAAAATTCGTAATGAATGCCGATAAAATTTTAAAAGAATACTCGTGCTTAGTATCAATCGTAACATTTCGAGTAATGCCGATCCAAACTGAGGTCTCTTACAGAGTAACAAAACAATCAACGTTATTAAAAAAATTGAAAAAGTGAGAACAAGTGTATCAATACCGAAAACAAATCCGAGCTGCTCTAAAGATGAAAGGACTTCACTGTAACGTGTCAATATTATGTAAGTAGTAGTGCGTCGTGGATAAAGTAGGTCAATAGAATCAGAATAACCTATAATGGTAAAATAGTTCAAGGCGATGTCATACGTACTGTCAGCTAGATTATCAATAAGTCCGTAGATGGTTTGATTTGTTAGATTTTGAGGATTATTAAGATCTATATAATAAATGACGGGCGTTACATTTAGAGTAAAGAAAATTTGTTTAAAAAATTGTGAAAGGCTGAATGACATCTTATTTCGTATTGAGCTGACGGTATAGGCTTTCCCAAATTTTACTGATGCTTTTGGGTGTGCAATTGCCCCAGCGATGATTTCAGAACCATTTAGGTATTTTGTTTTATCAAAAAACAAATTTTTGCAGCCGTACTGTACTATAGAACAAAATTAAAATTCAATCACAAAATTATTGTTCATTATCATATTATTAACTTTATAGTAAATAAGTTAATGCTTATACCTGATGAAGGAAATCGTCTAAACAGTGACCAGTTCTGTAATCTTTCATTGAAAGTAGAGCTCACATATTGCCATGGATATGGTGCGTAATTAGCGTAAGGATTGTAAGTATACAATGCAACAGAATCCGCATCATTCCAACACATTAATAAAGATGACAGTAAATTCATCTTCCACATGATTTGAAGTATGTCCCAAGCATTGTCACACTTTTCAGAAAGTTCAACGACAAGAAAGCGAGAATTAATATTCCACCACGATGAAGATTTCAATTTTTGGAGAACTGTTTAAAGTTTATTCGTAGACAATGCGTATATTGGCAACTTAGATAAGAACATTGTTGTGTTTTTACTAATTCCAAAATTAGGATCAATTGAGAAGGTTGGTATAAATTCTTCATTCCCTGTGATTTCATAAATAATATCTTGGAGGTCATTTGATACGATAGCAGGAATCAATTTTTCAAAAATGCATCGTTCCATTAACATTGGTTTCTACGGATTCAAGTAATTCGTAGGATGTTGAATTGTAATGAAATACAATACCGTAGACTCACAATATAGTTTAACAGTCACGGGGGTAGTGTAACTTCTCAAATCGGATGATCCGAACACGGAAAGAAATTGTTTTCAAAAATTACCGTGAAATTCACTGCAATCGTGGGACATAATGCGCCCCTTTTATTTATTACCATTTTTAAAATAAAAATTACGAAAAAATTCATGGATTTTGTGGTAGACTACGGTAAAATTTGTTGAAAAAAAGTTATAAATTATCTAACTTACTGACAAATGATTAGGTGTCATTCGTCCTACGATTACCGTGAATTTAACGGTAATTTAAAAAAAAAATTTCTTTGGTTAACCAATAGATAGAGAATTTGTATTTCCCGGTATTTCCCTAAGATTATATTAGACAAAAATAATCGAGTGGGAGAGAAATGTAACTTCCGAAAGTGTGAGCTATGTTGAGAATCTACTGTATAATTAAATTTTTAAATTAAAAATTATTTCAATTTCTTACCTCTTTTTGGTGAAAATTTGACAAATTAATAATTTGTAATTCACTTTGAGTCCCACTTATCATCAAAGAAAAATAAAGTAAATGTAAGTATCTGATTAGCTCCATGATCATACTCAACGATTCGATATTTTAATGCTCTAATTGAAGTTCTCGTATTGAAATATAATAGAGGACTATTTTTTCTAATCACGCTTAGCTACCAGGTAGAACGTGAACTTCGTTGTAAACTTCTCTGTATATACCCCGTGATCACCTGACCGAGGGTAATTATATTTTTTTTTTTTTTGATTTGTTTAAAGTCGCATAAACTACTAAGGTCATGAGCGACTACGGTAGGGGGTAAACTTTTGAGATTGGAACTCGTTTGTATTTCTTGGGCTGAGCAGAATAATACACTTAAATATTGAAAATATTCATTGGTGTACGCCGGATTCGAACCCGGTCCAATGCTTTGATAGCAAGGGCCGGATCCGATAGGCTACTGCGCGCCTGGTAATTATATTAAAAAATAAAAAATGCATTGTTCTACTCAACTTATTAGTATTTATTTGTATAATTTATTTCTCGATAAATTTGTTGTATCACATGTGCTCAATTATAATTCCATGTTATAAACTTATTACGAGATATTTATCACCGATAGAGTTTTACTCACCTCACAAAAAAATTATAAGCTCATTCGGAATCTGAGAATCGATCATTTTCTTTAATTTCATTATTTTATAATTTTATGACCAGTAATTAATTGAAATATATTTTCTATAACATTCAGAAAGAGCTTTTTTCGTATAAATCCAAATTATTGAAAAATTAAATTTCAGCATAGCAAAAAATTTTATCTCAAAATTATTAATGATTTTACTATGATCTTAATATTAGGTATATTACATTACAAGGACTGAAAGTTAAAATTTCTGCACTGCGCGTCAGGATGTCCAAAGCAAAGTCGTTTTTTGAATGTTTGTCAAATTTTTTTTTCCTAACAAAATAAATGTTTTTGTTAATTTCAATTTTTTTGGAAATTTCAGTTTCTTTAATACTGATAAAAAAATTTTTTTCCCAATAAGAATTTTTTTTCATTCCAACGAAAAAAAAATTTGACATACGAAACTTATTTTAGATTAATAACAATTTATTTTAATCTAAAAACTCTATTTTTTTGGGCATGCTTTTGGGCGTGCTACTGCTTCAAAGATAACTTCAAAAGCGTTTAGTTAATTCGTTCTATCAAAATACAAATAATCAAAGATATATCGATTTAATCCATACATAATGAGATAAGAATTGACTTCTGAATAGTTTCTAGTGCTTATGGTGCTAATTAAAATTAGTTACAGTGAAAGCTGTTAAAAGCTACCCAGGTTGTCTTTCTCGCTCTTGTTATAACGTTTTATGAGAAATTGAGACAGAACTACGGTAACTTTTAACAGCTTTGACTGTAACTCATCAATTATTAAATATGAATATAATTTATCACACTATATTCAATTATTGCAATGTTCATAACAAATTTCAACCAGGAAAACAATGAATGATATTGCTAAAGAAGTCGCTAGGAATACAAAAATATATTCTACATCTGACATGATAATTTCTCTGTACGTATCAAATATTCTGACTTCTTTCAATCTTAATTTTTTCATTGGTTCACTAATTTCGGTACTTTCCCAATAATAGAGAAAACCAGCTTCTGTTAACCGTGACATAATAACATCTACTCGAGTTTCAAGAGGCCAATCTTTACGAATAAATGGACTAACAAATCGCGGAGTACGGAGTATAGAAGCATGTAAATTGTGTTTGATAGCAACCGGAACACTAATTGTTGCAGTACTAATACATGCAGCGTAAAAATTATAACTGTTGATAATTTCATCATGACAAACGTTCTTCGTATAGTGAACATATTTTTTTTCTGTCTCTGTCCACTCATCGACACCGATAACTTGTCCAATATAACGAGTCATGAAAATAGAGTACTTGAATTTTTTAAGATCAGCAATACTGTTTATTTTCTCGCGGTATAATTTCGTCGAGTATGCAGACATATGACCTTGATAATTAGCATTCATAATTATGACAAATAAGAGTATAGATACGATGAAAATCCTTAAAGGAAGCCTATAAAACTTTACAACAGTACTTGTGGTCATTGTCAATCGCAAAATTTCAAGTAATGCTGATCCAAACGACAATTTTTTACAAACCAACAGTACAATAAACGTTAATATGAAAATCAAAGCGGTAAGAATGAGTACATTGATACTAAAAACAGATCCGATTTCATCTAAATAAGAGACAACTTTATTGCGACGCGTCAATATGGAGTAAGTTCCAGTATGCCTCGGATAAATAAAGCTGTAAGAATTAAAGTTTTTCACTAGTGATAGAAAATTTAAAGTTATGTCACACGTACTATCGGCCAAATTATTAAAAAATCCATCTGTAGTTTGATTTCCAATTTTGTGAGGATTACTGAGATCGAAGTAATGAATAATGGGTGTTACGTTTAAAACGGAAAAAATTTCATAAAAACACTTCCAAGTAAGAAATGGCATTTTTTTCTCTATTGAACTGATATTGTAGGCTTTTTCGAAATCTGTTGTTACTTTTAAACGTATTATTGCTTCAGCTATTACTTCAGAACCGTTAAGATGTTTTGTTTTATCAAAAAACAAATTACTGCAGCCGTATTGACCTATGCGAAAAAAACATAATTTGATAACAACATTGTTATCTTTATAATGAATATTTAAATACTCGTACCTTTAGAGTCATGTCGCTTAAACAATGTCCATTGCTGATGTCGTTCATTAAATGTAGTGTTCACATGCTGCCATGGATACGGTGCATAATTTGCATAAGGATTGTAAGTATATATTGCAATTAAATCATCCTTATCTTGGCATATAAGTAAAGAAGAAAGTAAATTCATCTTCCACATAGTTTGAAATATATTCCAGGCATCGTTACAGATTTTAAAAATATCAACGATCAAGAAACGAGAATCAATATTCCACCATGATGAAGATTTAACTTTGCGAAGAACTTCTTGAAGTTTATTTGTTGACAAAAGGTATGTTGGCAATGTAGGCAAAAACATTGTACTACTATTATCTATTCGAACACTAGGACCAATTAAAATTTTTGGTACCCCTTCTTTAATCCATGATGCATTAATAATATCTCGAATGTCATTTGATACGATGATAGGATTCAGTTTCTTAAAAATGCATGGTTCCAGTAATATTGATTCCTGCATTTCCAAAAAATTGAGAAACATTTAAATTTAATGAAAGAATGCTACATTAAAATTTTGAATATTGATTTTTTTTTCGACTTACCAGTTTTTGGTCAATCATTGAGCTCATAATTTGGAATGATTTACTTTGGGTCCATATCATAATAGACATAAAAAATATAAGTAAGTGTTGGATAAACTTCATGATCACATTCGGAAGTGTTATAACTTATAAGTAAATAAGTGGAAGTTATCCCACTCTAGAGCAAAACACAACTGAACAGAAATTTTGCTATCTTTCCAACTCAAGCTAATGTACATATTTTTTTATTCAATCGCTAAGTACAAACGTACTCAATCGCTCTGACCTAGTGTCATAATGCAGATAATATGAAAGAATTTTTGATTAGAGATATAGCGTTAGGTTTGTCATTTATTAATTGCTTTATTTATTTAATGTGTTACACGCTAACCATTAGCATATTAATTTATGATTGCATAACAAAATCTTCAAACAAATGATACATTATGTAAATTATGATTTTATCATACTTAATAAAATAGTGAAAAATAGAAGTTCGTAAGTTTATATTTTCGACAAAAAATTACAAGGTTTTCACGACAAACTAAAATTTACATCACAAATTCAAATTTATTTTGATTTCATCATTTATGGATATTGAATATTTTTCATTACTCGGGAAAAAATTTTTTGATATGATCTAATATGAATATATACATATATGAGTATTCCTGATCATATATATGTCAAAGAATTAAATCTGAGATGTTAAGTCTGAAATAAAAATCATAGTTTATATTTTCAAGGAACGTATCTGACATTAGTTTTTAGTTTAATCAAGCATTAAACCAATTTTTACTTGAAATAACACCTAAATGACGGACACATTTCTAGAAAAAATGAAAAATTATAATAAATAATTTTTTCATTCTTATGTCTAGTCAGAATATGAAAATTGGTCATGTCCACGGAGACAAAAATATCGCGTTCATCATTAATCAGTATCGTGATTATCACGATTCTTATAAGACTATATATGCGTTTATGCTCAATTTACTGTATCACGATAATCACGATCTACATGGATCCGGACACTATACACCTGAATCGCGATGGTCATCATATTGTTTTTTACAAGGAAAGAAAATTGTAGAGAGACGATGCTATAAAATAAAAATGTCTATAAAAGTAGTAAATATCCGAATTGTTACGATGTAACATCGTAAATTTTAAAATGTACTATGATTAAATTGACCGTATTGAAAGTCTGGTCTTGGATTACTATGTGACAATTGTAATTTTCCTAAAAATTTTTCTCGTGTGTACTGTAACGTTTTTCTGAATTGTACGAATAGCCTTGCCACAATAAGTTAATTTCAATTCATAATTCCTATTGATAAATATTGTGTCTTAAAAATTGTGGCTATTAATATTATTACGCTGTTAATATAATTCAAATTGTTAAATAAATAAATATTATTTTATAAATTTTGGCCCAAACATTTACAAGTAAATTAATTAAGAATTTGGTTACAAATGGTGGCGCTACCAGCGTGGATCGCGATAATCACAATACGTTTTGGCGTAGAAGGGAAATATTTTCTTACGATCACTATACGTATGGACAAGTTTTCGATACACTTGAATCATAGTAATCGGGAGTTAAAGTTTTGTAAAAATAATTATAGGGTTTTGTACTCATCACGATACTATGTTCATGATTGACGGGATAGCTACCATAGCAATATGTTTTTTCCAAATACGACCATATCAGAAAAGTTTTTCACGGATGTTCATTCGAGTGCGCTAATTGAGCGCAATATTGGTTTATAAAAATTTCAATGATAAAAACAAAAAATGATATCAATAAAGACACTACGAGAAATCTAAAAATGTAATATAAATCTGATAAAACGACTTCTCTATATTCATCAAATTTTTCAATTTCTTTAGATTCAAATTTTTTTAGAGGATTTTTTATTTCAATATTTTCCCACAAGGTCCAAAAGCCAAATTCTGATAGTCGTGACATAATAACATCTACTCGAGATTTAAGAGGCCAATCATTACGAACAAACGGAGTTTCGAATTGATGAATATTAACTAAAGTCGCATGTAAGTTATATTTGAAAGCAATGGATAAATGGCCTCTGTCGGGTCCAAGACATGCTGTATGAGAATTATTACTTTGAATAACGTGGTTAAAACACAGATAATCTGTGAACTGAACGTATTTTTTCTGTTTATCGTCCCAATCACTAACGCCAACAATTTTTCCGGCGTAACGTATCATGTAAATTGAATATTTCAGATCGAACAAATCATTAATACTATTAACAGCATCTCGATTTAATCGAGTTGAATAAGCTGACATTTTACTTTGATAAATAGCATTCATGAATATAACGAAAATAAGTACAGATGTCACAAAAATTCGTAACGAAAGCCTATAAAACTTACAATTCATACTCATGCTCAACAATAAGCTCAAAATTTCAAGCAATGCTGATCCAAACTGTAGCCTTTTACAGATTAGCAGTACAATGAATGTTATTATGAAAATTGCAGCAGCAAGAATAATTGTTCCAAAACTAAAAACAAACCCGAGGTCGTCTACAGATGAGATAATTTTATTGTGACGTGTCAAAATTATAAAATTTATCGTGCGTCGTGGGTAAAGTAAGTCTAAAGTATCATGATCATCTGTGACAGATAAAAAATTTAAGCCGATATCACAAGTACCACCGGCTAAATTTTGTAAAAATCCACCTTTGGATTGGTTTTTTATATTTTTTGCTTTAGTCACATCAATATAGTAAATCGTAGGCATTAGATTAAGAGCAGAAAAGACTTCTTTAAAACTTGCAGAGATAAAAAATGGCATTTTCTCCTCTATTGAATTGATGTTGTAGGCTTTTCCAACTTCTATTGATACTTGTGGGCTTACCATTGCTTCAACAATAACTTCAGAACCGTTTAAATGTTTTGTTTTATCAAAAAACAAATTACTGCAGCCGTATTGACCTATGCAAAAAAACATAATTTGGTAACAACAATATTGTTATCTTCATAATGAATATTTAAATAACTTGTACCTTCAAAGTCATGTCGCTTGAACAACGTCCATTGCTGATTTCGTTCATTAAATGTAGTATTTACATGCTGCCATGGATACGGTGCATAATTTGCATAAGGATTGTAAGTATACAATGCAATTGAATCATCAACATCTTGGCATATGAGTAAAGAAGAAAGTAAATTCATCTTCCACATAATTTGAAGTATGTTCCAAGCATTGTCACAGTTTTTAAAAATATCAACGATCAAGAAACGAGAATCAATATTCCACCATGATGATGATTTGACTTTTCGAAGAACTTCTTGAAGTTTATTTGTAGACAAAAGGTATGTTGGCAATGCAGGCAGAAACATTGTACGACTGTTATCTATTTGAACACTAGGACCAATTAAAATTGTTGGTATCCCTTCATCAATCCATGATTCGTGAATAATCTCATGAATATCATTTGACATAACGACAGGATTCAATTTCTCAAAAATGCATGGTGTCATTAATATTAATTTCTACGGGTGAAAATAATTGAATATCATCAAAATTTTATAGAAAAAATACAGTAATAGTGTTAACTATTAATATGAAAACTTTCTATTTAATTTACCATTGTTTGTTGAACTAGTGGAGGATCGATGTGTTGAAATGATTCACAGTTAATTAAAGGTTCTTTAAATAATAAATAAAATATGACAAAATATTTAAGAAACTGCATCGCTGCACTAAGAAATTTTAGGTTTCAATACACTGATTTACGGATTTTTATGCAAGTGCCGTCAATGACAAACTTTACTCAGTGAATTCACTACGGTCTGATGTATGACTGACATAAGAAATTTTTTTTAATTTAATTGTTAAAGTTACAAGTACATCGTAATTATTTTAATCTATAAACCTTGGAGTCTGACTATGTGAAAAAAAATAGGTATCATTTTTTGATTAGAGATATTATTTCACATTTCTAATTTATTAATTGCTCTATTTGCATGACGCGGGAAATACTAACAATGATTATATCGTTTTACCGTGGTATATTGAATTTTTTATGACAGTGAGATATTACAGATATCCCGACAATATTAAGGTCATAGAAATATGAAAAATAAAGAGTTAATGTGCATATTTGCTTGAGTATAATCGAAGATACGTCGTTAAGTAGAATTGACTTTTGTGCTTATTGTCCTAATCGAGAGTAATTACATATAATTTAGAAGAGCATTTTATTAAATTTATCATTACATGTTTGCATAATACATTTATTAATAGATTAGTTGATGTCCCATGGATGATATAATTATCTTCCTATATCATAAACTCATTGATCATAACTGTTAATTGATTGAAATCTACATTATAAGTAGTGTTCAAATTTTGCCATAGATATGGTGCTTAATTTGCATAAGGATTGTATGTATACAATGCAATAGATTGATCAGTATTTTGACAAAAAAATAAAGATGACAATAAATTCATCTTCTAAACAGAAAAAAAATTACTTAAAAAGATTTAATTAAGTAAATTTATATTATTTTTTCTTTCAGAATTTTTACAATCTGAGATGGTTACAGTTACCATCTTCAATTGTAACAGTTATAATTTCTGATAATTACAATTATTATTTTCGATAGTAATCGTTACCATTATTGATAGTAACTATTACAATTGTCAATGATACCACCTATTATTTTGTTACTAATTAATTTTATTACCATTTTAGATAGTAGGAGTTACTATTTTTGTATAGTAGGTAGTATAATTAATTTTTCTCCGTGCATTAAAAGTAAAAATAAAAATTTTTTATTCGACCTACCATTTCTTGATGATATATTGAGGAATTTATAATATGAATCAAAGAACTGTGAGTCCAAGATGTCATAAATAAAAAACAAAGTATAGTTATGTATGTAAAAATTATCATCTTATAACATGTGAGAATTTAATGTTTCACTAGTTTAATTGATGTTTTTTTACCCAAGTACAATCGATGACTGTTTTTTTTTATAATCACGGTTGCTTACTAAGCAGAACTGGCATTCGTTTATGATATAAAATTCTCAGTGCTGGCATGCGTAGAAATTTCCTGACCCAGAGCAATTATAAAATAAAAATGAAAACCTATGTTTTATTAGATATATCAATCTACATTTGCATACTTTGTTGCTTAACCACCCCTTCGTGTTCCACTTTGTCAATCTTTGTAAATTTATCAAATTTTTATCTTGATTTATGAATATATCACTAGCTTACCGGATAATCTCATCAGTTTGTTACACAATATTATACGTGAAACATTCAATGATACAAAGGGCTTATAATTACTTCCTACACAGTAATTTTTTACTGAATACTATCATAAAAAAGTTGTAAGCGAAATAATTGTTAATTTTATTATGAAGACCGATGAAAATTTTCGAAAACGTAAACAATAAAAAAAATCTGTTTTAGAAATATATTTTGCATTTATAATTTATGAATCGTTCTATCTACATGACATGTTGCATATTAACAATGATAACATCGTTTATCGTTGTGAAAAAATTAAAATTAAAATTAATAACATGAAAAAATTTTAATCTCTATGACAATGAGATATTATTGATAAATTGATAATATTAAACCTACAGAAACATTAAAAAAAAAAGCTAGTATGAATATGTTCGTTTATTCCAAATTTTAAAATCACTGATGTTGACAGTTGAAAATTGAATTTTTAAAAATTGAACAATGAACATCCAATGTTTTTATACTCAAATAAGATCAATGATTTGTTACAAGGTGAAAATGATATGTATTTATTTAATAATTTTTCAAATGGAGGTGAAATCAAAATTATTACTTTATTGTTTTATTAGTTCATATCACACGCTTACAATTATCTTACTATATAATTAGTTCATTGAGAATAATGCAATATGATTTATATTTGAAATTAATATTTAATATACTGAACCAGTTACAAATATTTCACAAAAATCGTTAAGTTAATATAATATTCAGAAGATAAAAATTATTTCAGATGTGTCTAATCCATTAATTAATTAATTAAGTAATGATTCACGAATTTAATTGGTGTAAAATTTAATTCTAATCTTCAAAATACAAAAACAATAAATTTGGTACTGTTTTTTAGCGATAGAGTATTTATAAATGATCAATAGATTAAAACGAAAAATCTAAGTATTTTAGATTATCGAACAATTTATAATTTTTTTTCTAAAATTTAAATAACATCTAAGCGTATTATAATACAAAATATTTTTACATAATAAAATTGGATTTTTTAATTTAAAATGTTCTCTGAACGTCTATTCTATTCGACAAAATATAACAGCATTCAATAATTAAAGTTACAATTATCAATTGTCTCAAAAAAAAACCACACGTGTGAAAAAAAAACGTTTGAATCGTGCGTTTTTTTAAAAGTTAAAAATAATTTTTTTCTACATCTGTCAGCATCAAAATCTAAAACTGCTCACACAATAATTTTTGAAGTATAAATTTATATATTGCAAACACTGAAAAGTATTAACTATTCTATTTAAAATTTATTTATTAACAAATTACAATTCATTGGAATAATTAAAACACACTATATAAACTACGAAATCACACTTCGCAGCACAACTATTGTATAAAGATATATGTATCTTTATCTGTGATCGCATATTATTCTGCATAATTAAACATAATTTTATATGTGAAGCTACTGTAGCGAATGAAATCTCACATATGGTAATATATCGCCATGAATAATATGTGTAATTAATAGTTAAAAATTTATGGAGATTAAGGTGCTCCAAGAAATAAAATATTTTTTATTCAGAAATAACTGCTACGACATTTTAACTGAAGATAATATAATTGCATTCATGTAAAAAGTAGGAAAAAAATTTGGTAATTATATTAAAATAGAGCTTTGCCGATTTTAAGCTATAAAAAGTTAAGAGATCAATTAGTTGTAATAAGGTATGACTTTATCAATTCTAAAAAATTGTAGAAAATTTGAAAAATTGAGATATTTATAAGTTTTTTTTCTTTCAATTCATTTTACTTTTGATGCAGAATATGAAAAAATGTAATAATATTGAAAAATTGTTTTTGCGTCTCAAAACTTTCAAATGCATGCGAAAATTTATAAGTTTTCTAAAAATTTATAAAATACATTTGAATCATGATATTATGACATTTTTTTCAAATTGTTCTTTATATGTTTTATCATCTTAAGGAAGTACGAGCACCAAGGCAACTTTTGATAAAAGGCTTGATTTTTTTTTAATATGAAGTTTAAATATGTCTAAACAAATTCTGAAAATTCGAAGGAGATTGCCCGATTATTTAAATAAATAATTAACTTTAAAGTTGAGCAATTTAACATTGGTCTTATGGGGTAACCTTCAAACATTGATACATTTCTGTATTTTTCTCGTAAAACTGTCGGTGAATATTTTTAAAAAACTTATGAATAAAAGTTAATATATTTGTGATAAATTTAATTCAAAAAAATTTACACTTGCCCGACTAATTAACGTGTATTAATTAAAAGAAAAATAAATGCCGCCATTAGCCAATGTTAAATGTATATCTATATATTGAGAAAAATCATATGGTTACTGCTTTCCTTAAAATTGTTAATAAATTTCAAAATTTTAATTGGAGGACTTTAATCACAAATATCTTCGTGAAATTCGATTTTATTAAAATCAAACTAAATTTTGAATCGGCTGAAGAAAATAATGTGCCAAAAAAAATTCACTATTCAATTTTTTATGTGTGAAAAAAGGTGGAGCTTTACTTTATATTTATATAATTATTAAAAATTTATTTCCAAAAAATTATGGTAGATTCTTAGATAAAATTTATTTTAATTACAGCAATAAGCCTGTAATATGAAATAAATCGCGAAATTTTTTCTAATTTCAAGTAATCATAAGTGAATTCATAAGTGATTAGTTCTTGCGTGCGCGTACGCAATGCACAACAGTTTCAACTATGAACATAATAAAACCTACGCCTAAAAAAATCCCAAATGTCAAATAAACGTAGTAAAAATCAGAAATAATAATTTCCCGGTATACGTCCAATATTTCAACTTCCTTCATTTTAAGTTTTTTAATTGGTTGATAAATTTCAATATTTTGCCAGTGTTTTAAAATACCTGCTTCTGATAGCCAAGATATAATACGATCAACTTTAGCTTTGAGAGGCCAATCCTTTCGCACATGAAAATTAGTAAATCTTTGATTTTTACTGAATGCTACATGTAAATTATATTTAATAGCAATAGGTAAGTTACGTCCAACACCAGCGATACACGCGTTTAGTGATTCGTTATCTCGAATAACGTATTTGTAACAACTTTGATTAGCCACTATGTGAACATATTTCTTGTGTTCATCTAACCAATTTTCAACACCTACAATATGTGCAGCATAAGGTTTCATGTAAATCGTATACTTCAAATTTTGTAAATCATCGATATCATTTACAACGTCCTGTTTAA